ATATGAAAGTTTGGATTTTCCGGTCTGTAGTGGTCGCCCCCCTGTAGGGCTAAAAAAATATTCTTTTTGTGTGCCAAGAAATAAGACAACAAGAAATGCCGCTGGGGAATTTTCTCTAATATTCATACGTGGGAGAAGTGGTCGTTGTTGGCGGTACAAAGCAGGATAAACTCAAATATATAACTAAATAAACAACGATTTAGAGGAAGCACATCCACATAGTGGTTCTTCGTCTACTTTTCCTGATCGAATTGGAATTTGGAAATGTTGGTTTTTGAGGAGACGGGAAAACCGGAGTACCCGGAGAAAAACCTTTCGGTGCAAGGGAGAAAACCAACAATAAACTCTACCCACATATGGCGTCGACGCCGGGATTTGACCCGGGCCACATAGGTGCAAGGCGATAATACACAGATTGAAAATAGAAGGAATTTTTCCTCATCTGTATTCTTTGTCTTTCGATGTGGTAGCGGTGGTCATTCATAATCATAACGAACTGATGATATCACGAACCGAAATGGAATCCGCCTTGAAAGGGATTAAGTGGTTAGCGATGAAAATGTAGTTTCATCTTAATTTGACTCTTAATTTTATTCCAAAAAAATTTCGTCAAATATTCAAGTTTCGTTTAAAGTTAGGTTACTCAGAAAGATTCATAATAATTTCCTAAGGTACGGTAGTAACTTTGTGCAAGCTTTGAGAAATCTTGAGGTAAATTGTTGGAAAACCTCAGTTTTAAAAAAGAGACTCTTTCAAAATACTTATAAGCTCTTTCCACATGTAACATTAGTGTGTATTGAATACAAATTTCTCTTCCAAACCATCTAGTGATTTTAAGGCATATGTCTGCCTATTTTAGTTAATTTAGCCGCAAATTAAATCCTACTAGTGTACGGTATGTCGTGGGTTCAATTCCCATCTGGTACTCAGAATTTTTTTCTGTTTTCTACTCTCCACATATATCATTTCAATCATTTATTATTCATTGCTCATAAAGTATTTACACGACTGCGTGATGCAGTTAATATTGTGTGTTCACTTGACATAATGTGACTGCGCGATGCGGTAGTTAAGTCAGCCCACAAATGACCTAGCATACGGAAGGTCGTCGGTTCAGTTCCCATCTGGAACCCAGAATTTTTTTCTGTGTTCTTCTCTCCACTCATATCTTTTCATTTATTAGAAATTAAATCTATCCAGGGTTTATTTCTTCTCTGGAAAACGTCGCTTTGAACACAGACCACTACGTGTGTAAATAGGGCCAATAGCAAAGTGAAATTTATTTTAAAGATCTGAATTAATACCTTGGTGAGATAAGAGATGTCACTTTCTTTAAAAGCAACCATTAAAAAGTCGTTTTGGTTTAAAAGACTTGTTAAGAAAGAGATTGGTTTCATACTAAACTGTGATAGTTTATGCATTAAGAACTAAGGAAAATGTTTGTTATAAATAGAAGACCCAGTAAAAACGAACAGCAATAAAGTTGTTTGACGTATTCACACCCCCTCTCTTTTTGGTTTTCTTTCCTCTCTTGTTTTTTACTCAAGTCAATTTTTATAACATGATTATTATTGCCATTGTTACTTTGATTGCGGTTAATTTTTTCAACTTATGACTTTCAAACAATCCTCCAAATGAGCCAGAATTCTGTCCTTTTATTCAAATTTTGTGTCTGTTTAATTAACAGTAGCGGAATAAAGAAAAATGAACACGAATCATGCTGACGGAAATTATTTTGACTAGCACATTAGCGAGAACAAACTTGCAATAAAAGGTTTCTTCCGTGTAATTGAATTGTTGATTGCTGCTAACACTGTTTACCCGGTCATCCACGGCTCAGTTCTTCTAAAGAAGTGGCGGTTGAACCTTTGAAGATAGCTCATTAGGAGTGATTAATATAATCCTCACTGATTATTCATGTAAAAGTTCATAAAGAAAGAAGAGGAAGAATCGAGTTAATCACTTAATGTACCTATGAATAGCGTATTTCAGGAGAAAAGAGGATTTTTTACGTCAAGAGCTAATATCCCACACTTCACTATCGTAGGTTGTATACGCAATTTTATCTATTCAAATGATATTTAAAAGTAAATACTATTGATGAGCGCACTAACTGTCGAGAGTAAAAACGAACCAATATTTTGCAAACGATAATATTTCTATTTACATTTACTCAAACAAAAACACAAGCAGCCCTGGTAAGTTATTTTTTCTTGACTTGACAAGCTATTTACTTCAAATTGACGCAAACACTTACTCGTACCTTATGAGGCAAGAAAATACCTTGATAAAGGGATATACGCCAGACACTGTAGTCATCACCGGTAAAAGGAACAATTGTATAACTTTAATTACCGCAATCATTACATGTTCTGCGCGCGGTTAATTAAAAACGCCAACCGCACAGTGCTTTCCAAGCATTTGGTTCCATATAAAAGAGGCGGGCATCGAACCGACAACAATTTGACAACTCTAAACAGGAAGAAACTGTTGTAGACAGCGTAAGACAAGTAAGGTCGTGATCACTCGTCAGGTACAATCAGTTTTGTTTTATTTTAAATTTCTGATTTACAAGTAAAAGCATATTTACTTGTAACTGGAAGCAGGTTGTAATCTATGCGTTTACAATAATCTGACACCTACTTGACTTTTAACTATATAAGGTTCGTATTGTTAGACAACCGATAGTTCTTTAAGAGGCAAAGATCTGTTCTTTATTCTGTTTATTCTTTACGCTCAGAAAGACTTTCATCTCTTTAGGTAAGCTAAAGGAATTCTTAACGAATACTGAAGAATCTTCAATAAGTTTGTGTGATTAAGGTTCCAGCAAAATTCTAATTGGTTTCAGACTGAAATGTGCTGAAAGTTTCCACAGTTACGGGGTTTTATTACTAGTGCAGCCGTTTTTAAGAAATCAAAATTGCAGATATCATTATCCTACTTTTGTAATGACCATTATTCGTATAAGTTTCATTAGATGGAAATTTTTAACTTTTAATTTTTACGTTATATTTTTTACTTTATAATGATGTTATTTATGGATTTTTTATCAGACAATGTTATTATTATTTTTGTTAAATTGATGCGATGCAGAATTCTCTTTTATCAGTTAATAAAGTAGACGTAGACGTAGAAAACTTTAAACTAAGTAGAGACGGTAACAAATCATGAAGAATTTATATTCCCACCTTACTGGTGAAAAATACTTTATTTTATTTTCTTTTGTTCTATTTTGTTTTATTCTCTTCTACTTTTTCTACTCTATCATTGTTTTTATTTTTTTTTTCTTTAGCGTTCCACGTTCGGCGTCAGAGTTTCGTTAGACTTAGCCACGACGATTGTTCTTGATGAACTCGGAAAAAATTCTGTAATCATGATGAAAAGCGACAAAAATATAAAGAGCTGCTATATTGCGACAATTTATGTAGAAATAAAAGTTACTTTACAATCAATTTATTCATCACACATCAAATTTTTAACATCTGCTTTCGCACTCCTCTTCAATTTCTTATGGTTTGCTGCTTTTGAAATTAGTATCTGCTTTCTAAGCAAGAATATTTGAAAAAGAATTGATTTTTGCAAATTTTAACCTCCAA